TCGGAGCATGAAGCTGATGTTTACTCACAATGCTAATGCTCTCTTATCCTCTGGCGCTCAAGCTGTGGAGGAGCCAAGTGGCTGGCTCACTGCTGCCAACTAGTGGTCAGAGGCTGAACTACAACATAAAAATGAACGGCTGGCAGGAAAGGTGACATTTTAAACCTTAATAAAAAAATCGATACAGGGCTTTAGAATATTGATATAGTATCGGGAAATGAAATATCGTGATATTTCAGTGTATCGATATTTTCTTACACCCCTAGCATCCAGTGGGGTATCAAAAAGCAGACATAATGTCCCTGACAGGAGATATGTGATGTCATCTTAATATCAGTTTGTGATATCAGTTAATATTGGAATCGAAAATTAATTGTTGAACAATATCAGCAAAAAGTCAATATCGAGCATCTCCACCAGACCTAACTTTGCTCCATCAGTTACAAAGAAATAAATAAGCACTTCTGTCATGGTTCTCCAAACTCTGATATATACAATGTAAAAATGTCCCAACTCACTGAAATCTGATTCAAAAATCAGAAAAAAGGCGTACCTTATATCGCATCTTGGGGCAGGAGTGGATGTAAAAGCCCAGGTAGTAATAGGACAGCTTGGGGGATTGTTTCTGCAGCTGCCTGGTGAAGGAAATCTCCCTGTGGAAAAAAAAAAGGAAACAGTTAAAAATAAAAAAGGTCTTGAATGAATCTGAGTACGGTTTGTTCTTGTTTTTTACGTTTTGTAATAAAAACGCCAAAAAGAAAACGCATGAAGTCTGATTAGGCCACGCCCTTCAAAAACTGGTCTGCATTACAGTAGTGGGGGTAGATTAGGATCGACCATAGCGAATTGCGTGCTGATGGGCTGAAATATGTGGAATTTAAAGCCAAACATTTGCCAACGGCGTAAGGTGTAATTAAGCCACGCCCCCTTAAAGTTCCTGCGACGTTAAAATCTTTCAAATGCAAAAAGTCAAAGAAAACATCTTTGTATTTAAGACACTTTGCATAAAACACATGATTTTACCTATTTTGTCCCATAACTGGCAGCTTTTCTTCTGAACAGCCAAAGTGAAACAGGAAGTGACATCAAAGGGGAACTCTTTAAGAAAAACTTTTTGGTCTTTATTAATTGAAACAATTTGAACTCTGACTTTTCTTCAACTCTCTGATAGACTCAAAATAACCTAAAACATCAGATTCTTCTCTGCAGTCTGAGTTGTCGGCTATTTTAACAATGCCTTGTTTACGTGCAGACATTCCTCTTTGACATCACTTCCTGTTTCTTCACATGCAAATATCTCAACAACCGTTCGTCACAGAGGCGTAAAATATTTTTTTGCAATATGTTATCAATGTTATCTTTCCAAAAATGTATTCATGTTGTTGCAAAAACTTGATGTCAGAAGCACTTTAAAAACAGAAATAATTCCTAAAGATATTGGCAAAAACTGCACTGTAACCCTTTTCTGAGTAACTTGGAAAATTAAAGCTATTTTGTTCCCAGTAAGATCATCAGCTCTCAATGAGACGCACCGACTCCCTCTATATAATACTAACATATCCATGGCGATAAATCTTAACTTTTCTTTGTTACTAGGCCTGTGTATTGGCAAGAATTTGGCGATACGATACWTATCATAACAGAGGGGTCACGATACGATATATTGCGATACTGTAAACAAGGCGATATATTGTGATTTTTTTGTCCAAAAATTCTATTAAATAAAAACCTCTTACTGAAATAAAAAAAAAGAAAAGCTAATGTTTACTCACAATGCTAATGCTACCCTTACT